CTGTGAGCTCCTCAGCATTCTTACACTTTTCCTGTAGGACATGAAGAGCGACAGAAAAGCTATGTGAGAGGGAGTCTCCAAGCTGTGCGGTGAAGGTTTCCGGTTCTGTAGTTTCATCATCAGCCTGAGATCTGCACCTGATCCAGTGCTCCATGAAGACTGGTTTGAGAATTCTCAGGACACCTGTAGTTAGTTGCTGTACAAGTTCAGTACACATATCAAGCAGTATTACCTCTGTGTCAGAGTCTGGAGTCCCATCAGCCAACAGTATCCGCTGCGCTGGAGAAATTCTACCAATATATTTGTTAACAATGGGCATAACAGCTTCTGGTGTGATTAGGACAGTTTTCCCCTCTGGGGATCCAGCCTGGCTCATTGAAGACATTTCTTCGTTCATAATGCTTTACTTTGCTAAAAATGTATGTATGAAACTGTAAATATTCAGTAATTTTCTGAACTGATCCTCTTTGCAATGTGCTTGTAGTCACTTGTGGAAAATGCAAACAGTATTACGCTGGCCTTAATGTGGCATGTGATGACGTCATGAATGCACATCAAAGGCAGTTTGCTAGAATGTTACGCATGCGCACAAGAATAAACAGTAAAACAACATATTGAGCCAATAAATACATTCTTTATTGTCCAACAGGGGACCTGTCATCAAATTTGCAACATGCAAAACACAGTTTCCAACATGAAGCAATTATGTAATTTATTAAATAATAAAAACGTAAATGTATAAAACTGTACAGTGCCGCCTCCTGCGTAAGCAGTGCTCACATTGTTTATTTTGGTGGGAAATTGTGGCTTTGTCACTAATGCCTTTGGTAGCCATGAAAACATAACACGAAGAAGAGAAAATAATAGTTTAAAGAGCATTAGCTTAAAAAACAAACAAAAACAAATAACAGGCCAGCATGAAATATCAAAATGGCGCCGCTGTATGGGACTTGCCGTCGATTCCTCCCGTGTGTGTTACTGTTACCCCTGTTTTTGTTGACTGTTACTCGGAATGTATCGCCTCTACTAGTTTACGCACAGCCCTTCTCAATATTAGATTTTTTCATGGATGGGATCATGTAAGGTCTCTCCCACCGTCACTGGCGAAGGTACCGACACACTTTCGCGGTCCTTACTTCGTTTGCCCACAAAGAAAGCGGCCTAAAAGCCGAGGGAAGAGGGGAGGAGTGGCTGTCAGGCTCAAGGCCCTTTGGCGTTGGGCTTCTACTGATGTCTCCGGCCTCCATTGTAAATCCGACTCGATTTGCCATCATTCTCTTATGTATTGCTGGCCTGGCTTGGCTTCACCTACCCTTCACCAGATCCCTGGCTAACAAGACTTTTATTCTAAAGGACTTTTTTCACATGGCGGGAATTGGATTTTATGTTGCTGACCGAGACCTGGCTAGAGGAAGGTGAGCATTATGCATTTCCTGAACTTCTCCCACCTGCTCCTCCTTTAGCTCCCCACATACATCAGGCAGGGGCGGCGGCCTGGCGTCAGTTTTTAAAAACAGCTTTAAATGTCAAGGCAGCTCACAGTGGACACCTACTCCACTTTCGACTTACAGCTATTTGTGTTAGAGCAAACAATTTTCAGTGAACAAATCACGCAGAGCAGATTTTCTCTAGTTTTATGGGCAGATGGCTTTACTCTGCAGCATCTCTGTAAGCCCCAGCGTATCAACATTCAGTACTTGCAGTCGCAACAAGCTCCTGGTTTCTATGGAGACTCCACCTACACAGCCAGCAGTGCAGGCAACACCAATATGCTCATGATGCTGATCTCCCCACACCCCTGCATCTTCCCAGTGTTTTAAATGCTGCTGCTGTTTCCTTCTACTATTAGCCACCTTCCCCTGGTGACTGATCGGTGCACAAACTAGGAGCACAGTGTGCTGAAGCTTTACACGGAGACTCCATGTTGACAGCATGTGCATCTGAGCTCTCCTGACTGGAGCAAGAGGTCAGGCTTATTATCAGCACATCAAACTTATCAGTGGTACGCTTGTTACATAACTTGTCTCATCTTGGAAAGTTTGATAATTAATTGGTATCATCTGCTGGAGGAGAAACTTCCAGAGTTCACAAGCAGCTGCTAAGAGATCCCATTTTTAAGTCTGCTCTTCAAATTTTACTTTAAAGAAAGCTGTGACATTATTATGACAAGCATGATAACCAGCTTAATCATAATTTATTAACTGATAGAAGGGGCACCTCCACTCCCCACTACTTAAAACTAAACCTACACCCTTAGAGCACAATTACAGTTGTGTTCAAAATAATAAAAGCAGTGTTTAAAAAAGTGAGTAAAGCTCAAAATCCTTATAGTAGCTTTTACTTCCATACATGCACATGTATTGGGAACACTGTACATTCTATTTCAAATCAAAACATGAAGACAAATGTATAATAAAAGGAATATTAGGCTGTTCAAAAAAAAAAGCGTCTGCATTGTTCTTTACAAACGCAAACATTTACTGTATAAACTGAAAAATGCTTGAAAATTTAGCTTTCCTGTGAATCACTGAACTAATCTTTTGTTGTATAACCACTCTTTCTGAGAACTGCTTCACATCTGTATCGCATGGAGTCGGCCAACTTCTGGCACCTGTGGACAGGTATTCCAGCCCAGGACGATTGCACTACGTTCCCAAGTTCCTCTGCATTGCTTGGTTATGCCCCAGAAATGGCATTTTTGATGTCACCCCACAAGTCTGTGGGATTAAGGTCTGGGGATTGGGCTGGCTACATTAACATAATGTTAATCTTGTTGGTCTGGAACCAAGATGCTGCTGAGAAAAATATCCCCATATCATGATGCATACGCCACCACGCTTCACTGTGTACTATGGCTTGAATTCAGTGTTTGGGGGGGTCATCTGGCAAACTGTCTGTGGCCCCTAGACCCAAAAAGAATAGTTTTGTCCACAAAATGTTGCACCACTTCTCTTTAGGCCAGTCAAAGTGTTCTTTGGCAAATTGTAACCTCTTCATCACATCCTTTTTTCAACAATGGGACTTTGCGGGGGCTTCTTGCTGATAGTTTGACTTCACATAGGTGTCTTCTAATTGTTACAGTATTCACAGGTAACATTAGACCTTCTTTGATCACTCTGGAGCTGATCACTGGCTGAGTCTTTGCCATTTTGGCTATTCTTCAATCCATTCAAATGGTAGTTTTCCCGTCTTTCTGGTTTTGGTTGCAATTTTAAAGCATTTGAGATCATTTTAGCCGAGCAGCCTATCATTTTCTGCACTTCTTGGTATGTTTTCCCCTCTCCAATCAACATTTTAATCAAAGTACGCTGTTCTGAACAACGTCTAGAATGACCCATTTTCAGAGAGAAATGCACTATAATCAGCATGTACATTTGCTGCCTTCGTCCTTAAATAAGGGCCACCTGTTTGACACCTGTTTTTTCACAGAATGAATGAGCTCACTAACTGAACTCCACACTGCTATTATTTTGAACACCCCCTTTCAATTAATGATTCAGTTACACAGAAGCAGCATGCATGCCATGACTGTTGGGTCTGTTAGTTTTCTATTACTCTACTACACCAACTAGTAAATTATTTGCCATGTAGAAATATAATTTCTACCAAACCCAGTGATTGATCTGGTTAGTGATGTTGGACTGCTATCATTTTGAACACAACTGTATATGGAAAACACATTTTCTTGGGAAAATAAAGCTATTTAAATCCAAGTATTTTCTTTACAGTTTAAATGATTATTTTTGGGCAAAGAATGACCTTTTCACCAAAATTGCCATCAGTTAATTTGTCGAACGATTTATTGAGAAATTCACTTATCAGTCAGTATGTCACATGTAGAATAGTGTGTATATGACCGACTTGTCCTCATGAGAAAATGGACCCCCCCAAAAAGACTACCCTTGTTCCGCAAATAAAAATATACATAGCTTGCCTCTTTTCTGAGCCCACCTGCTCTAATAATTTTAGTACAGTCCCTTACATCTTTGTTGTTGTGCCATTCTGGTTTTTGTTTGATACAAGACACATTTCCAGGCCAAGTTGGTTTTAGCATTTTAATGTGTAAAAAGTCCTGGATGTACTGGGTGTCTAACAAAGTTGAGATCCTGCTGCTGAGTTTCATTAACACTAAAATTTGTTGCTGTGTTCTTGCTTTGGCACATCTGCTGACATGAGGAAACACCTTCGGCACAGCAGCTTTATTTAGCTTCTCCGTCACAAAGCAGGAAATGTAGGAACTCTGCAGGGTGTAAACCAACGCTGGGTGTCTGTTTATCCAAAAACATCCCATCAGTGCTGAGAAATGCTTCAACCACCAGGGAGCAGAGCTTTTGTATGTCTCCACTGCCTGACAGTCTGATGAACTGATGAATCAGCATAGTCACATTGCAGCTGTCTAGCAGGAGCATCAGATTCAAATCACATGTAATTTCAGCAGCACTTTGCATAAACAAGGAAAGATCAGGATCCCCGCAGTGTTCTGTGCTCAGGAGATGGAGAAGTCACTTGTTTACACGGTGATGGGGACATTGTGCTTGGATCTCAGTTGTGTTCTTCTACACTGAAAATGGCTTCTACTGCATTTTAGTTGCCTTTTATGAATAATACCCATTTTTCCAGTATCATTTAAAAGTGACAAAAACAATCTCACCAAGAGGCCCACTCAGTAGATGATCTTCCTTAGCAGATGGAGTTTGTCCAGAATAAAAATTCAGCTACAAATGTCCCTATACTGCCTCTCTATGGAGAGAAGTGGAACTACAACCAGAGATTTAAGGGCTTATTCAACTGGGTCTGATATTGTCACAAAATATACACAGAAGAGCTTTAAATTAATTTATTTTATTATTTTTTTAAAAGCATTATCACCACTTAAGCAGGATATTTTTTGTTGCTATTGTTTGGAATGTGTACAATCAGAAAACGGACTCGCCAGGTCACAACTCAAGCCGGGAGGGACAAAGAGGGAGGAAGGGAGAGGCAAAAAAGAAGAAGAAAAAGAAGAAGGGAAATGAAAACATTTAATCAAGTGCAAGTCAGGCTTGGACAAAGTTAGTCTTTTTAACCTCTGTTCAATTTACAGATTACAACTTCTGTTTTTGGATGCATGCAAGTCAACATCTGGAACTACACATGGAGATTTCATATGCTTATATGGGTTATCTGTGCAAGTATTAAAATACGTAGGTATAATGAAGCAGTTTCAGAAGTCAGAACAAAAGGGAAAATAAACACATTATGAAAAATATTACACTGTTTCACTGAACAGAAAAGTTCCACATAAAAAAGTGAGCTTTCTAACTTAGTCACCGAAATGTCACCAACCTCAACGTTTTGTATGCTTCCTTTAATTTAGTTACTCAACTAGAAAACTGAAAAGACGTAAAAAAAAAAATAAAAAAAAAATTCTATGCTCCACATTTTGAACAACAAAATACTGCATATCTACGTACAGCTGTAATAACAGAAGATCAGTATTGAGAGAGGCTAGCTGCCAGAGTTTCAGGACAGTTGGCGCCGAGTTGATCCCTTTCTGCATGTGTTTTTTAATTTTAAAACACTGAATCCTCGTCGTCCTTGTCACTTGGTTGATCACTTCCTCCAGAGCCGCTCTGACAGATCTGGGGAGGATTTTGTCTGTTGGAGTTTCCTATCTGTTCTGAGGCAGAACTGGCAGAAAGATGGCGTCTAGCCCGAGCAGAGCCGGGACCCCTCCTTGCTGAACTGTGCGAGGTCAAAGGTCAGCTCCTAAGGGTTTTAATTGCTGTTAAGTCTTCCTGTAGACTTGGTTTAATTACTTTCCTGGTTCAGTGGCTCACAGGGCACACCTTAAGTTCATCTTTGTCCTATTTCTTTATTTTGTTCTCAACCCACCATTCCAGTCTTTAAGGGGGTGGACTTTTCTTTTCTTTTGATGCTCTATAACAAATAACCCAAAATGAAAAGAAACTTCTGTTTGGCACCTGGGGAGTCAGTGTTAGGAGGAGAAATAAAACAAATGACAAGGACAAGAGAGGAAACGTGGAAGGAGGAGAAGGTGGTGGTGATGGTGGTTGTGTGGTGTGGTTATACAGACTAGTTGGGGTGGCTGCCTTGGTCGTTAGCTGCCGAGGAGTCCGAGTCTGCTGCGCAGGCCGGGGTCGAGGGGGTTGGGGCTGCATCCTCCTCTGATTTGATGCGTTTAGCATCCGGCTGTTCGCTGGCCAGCTGCTCCCCATTCTGCCGTTTGGTGGGGAGGGAGGCCGAGGCTGATGCGTGGGCTGCCAGCAGGTGGAGGGGGCTTGCCACAGCTGGAGGGCAACAGGAGGAACACAAAGAAAGAGATGGGTTAACAGGGGAAATATTTCACAGTCAGAGCTGCTCAGAGTGTGGTTAACCAACATCTGTAAGCAGCAAGCCTGTGGGAGTGTGGTCTGGCTCAGCTGCAGCGAGTCTAGGATAATAAAAACTTGTTTTCACAACCAGGGGAGGCAGAGAATGTGTTCATTGTTGAACATAAACAACTGGCAGCGCTCTTGTGGTTGACTTGAATGTGTATGGTCTGTTACAAATGATACCATTTATGAGAGACCACATAAAACAACCGGTCAAATAATCAATTAGTTGTTTGACTAAAATGAATAGGCAACAATTTGGATAATCACCAAGTTATATAAATACTTGTCCAAGTGCAAAACAATAGGCTGGCTTCCCAAAGGTCAAGATTTGTAGCTTCAGACATGAAAATAGGCAGATCATTAATTCATAATGAAAATAACAGCAGGTGAATAAGATCTTTTTATCACTGTTGTGGATTTTATAGTAATACAGCATTTAATTGTGAACAATTTAAGATAATTTGTAATTAAAATGTAGGACGAGTGTTGAGAAATTATACATTTGACAAGGGGCAAATGTTGAGGCCTATTACAGAGGTTCATTGAACTTTTTTTTTTTTTTTTTAAGGAAAACCTGTTAGACTATATATTGTTAATAGAGTATTTTCATATGCAAATATTGAAATGTATCTGGAGTGGAAATTTATATATTTGTGGTTTTTCCAAACAAAAGCATTACAGTCCTGGTCCGTTTTACTTTTGGTCCATTAATGAAAGATGTAAAATATTCAATGTAAGCTTGCTGGAAGCTCCCGAGAACACACACACACACACACAGATATCTGTCAACCATGTCTGGAAGTACAAAGTTAACTTCAGTTTTTCCACTAACATCTCAGAATGCTGTTTAGGGGTCATTTAATTAATAGCATCCCAATTCATTTGAAACACATGAAAAGTAGTTTTAAGTTAGTTTATTTAGAAATGATAAGTGAATGACACTACAAGTACATGAGAGTGTCCCATCAAAATAAACTAAGCCAGTGTTTGTCTGGGGGAGCATTTCCATAAACCATCCCCCACCTTTTCATTCACTGTGTGCCTCACCTGAGCTGGCAGGTCCCTGGATGGCAGTGGTGCTGCTGTGGGTGCCGTTCTGTGTGATGGTCTTAATGGGCAGCTGGTGCTGACCCACGGGGGCCTGCTGCACTATGGCAACAGTCTGCAGGGGCATGGCTGACTGAGAGCTCTGGATGATGCGACTGGAGCCGCCTATAGAGGTGATGGTGGGAACTGTCTCCACTTTGACTGAGAAGACAAAGACAAGTCAACAACCCAGTAACTGGTTATGGATTAGACTGTTAATGATCTGTTTAAAGACACACTGCCAGGTTATGGTACAAATGAGCTGTCTTTTCATGCCACTAATTATAAGTGAGTGACCCTATGATGCAGGATCCATCACTGTAAATGTTGATAGCTGTCTCTTCAGGCATTCTGACTGTATTTTTATTCATAGCTAATATCAGTTAATTAACTTTCTTTCCTACTCTGTCAATTCAGAAAGAAGTTCAGACATCCACCCAGTATGCCACAGGTACTATTGATTAGGAACCACACTCATTTGTCAATCTTTTTCCCCCCATAGCTGTTTATCGTTAAAGACATACAGCAGCTAATGATGCTAGCAGAGAAAAAAAAATGCTGTACTGTCCCACCTTTGACCTCTGTGTGTTCTCCATTCTCCTGTGGCTCACTCTTGATGATGGTGGCAGGCTGGGCGATGCTGAGGGACCCCGCCGCGATCTGCTGCAGGACATGTACAGTCTGGACAGCAGGCTGGGAGGTGCTGGTGCTCACTGGGGAGGCCATGGTGTAGGTCACTGGTTTGATGGTCTGAGGTAACTGACGCTGGACTGCTATGAGTACCGGCTGGTTGCTAACAGGCGAGGCTAAGAGGACACACAGGTTATTTATACAGTAGAACAGAGGATATTTACATAAAAGAATTGTCAAGGGCTATCTGCATGAAAGAACTAGCATGTAATTATTTATTCCTCAGGATATTCTGTGCAGGATTCATGAGTTTGAGGTCTGTAAAACCTATTTCATTTTCATCATCTGGGAAACTTACATCCACAGAAGCTCCAGTGAGAACCAAACGCTCGGCTTTAAACTGCTGAGTAAAAGAGAAAAGACAACTCAACGCATAAAGTGATGGCCTCCTACCTGGTGTGTTTTGTGCAAAGCGAGCTTCCTGGATGACGGCCAGTTTGGGCTGGACCACTGTGGTGGATGCTGGGGCAGGAGCTGAGGAAGTCTCCAATTCCAAGGGAACAGGGGAGCCCTCTCGTGATAAGCTGTCAGGGGTCTGGACGCCACTGGAGTGAGCGGAGAGCACCCCTGAGTGATTGGGAGATGCTGGGGCACTCCTGAAGGTCAGCATGACAAGTCAGGGTTAATGCAAGCTGTATGAAACCCATACTGCAGTGTCTTCACTGGATAACACAATCTGCAGCTGATGCAACATTATGACTTTATTTCCTGATTGCTAAGTAAACGTATTTATTGCTCTATTCAGGGATTATTTTCTGTATTTATTACTAAAAACCACCAACTCCACTGGGCAGTTTTAGGAGAGGCCAACACAAATACATTCATTAAATTATAATACAATGTTATTAGAGCGTAACCACCTTTAAAAATATTTACTTATAATAAAGTCGGTATTATTTCAGTGATTTCTGTATCAACACAATGTTGTTGTGTTACACCACTTTTGTATCACAGATGGCTCAAATGGGCCTACAAGCCACAGACCCAGGGGACAATAAGTCACACAGCAAACCACAATTTTGTAGTTGTGTCTGTCAAATATGGAACTGCAGTTCCTGGCAGGCAGCTGAAATGTATGTGACCTCATTTTTTTTATTTGCAGGGTGCACAGACAAGCTGCATGTTCGGTAGGACTGATGTACCAAATGATTGCTCATGTTTTACCTGTGTTTACTTATGTATTTCTCTATTTTGGTCAAATTCAGTTTGACACTAGTGGGATTTCATTGTTTTGGTGGATTTTTGTGTACATGTGTAGCCCTGAGTAAACAAAAAAACAAACCCAAAAACAACCCTTCAGGTTACAAATATGCACATAAAACGAGAGGGATACATGAGCCGATCTGAGGGCAGCATCAACAGCTAGGCTGATTAAAACAGTACTGTATCAGCTGCATGATACAATCAAAAACAGTGTTGAAACACTTTTGGTGTAGATGTTTAAATGGAGGCTCTGTTGTACCACAAAACAACAGCACAATAATTTACATGCACAAAACATCCTTTTAAAATGCTTTTACCCTGAAGTAACTGCAAAAAAAAACTATGTGTTAGTAAGTTGAATTGGTCTGACTGATTCGGTTTATGACTCAAAGGCAGAGTGTGTGAAAGTGGGATGAAGCCAGACCTAGAGGAGAGGGGTCCATGAGGAGTTCTAAAGCAGGGGACACCCCGGGGCCTTCTTTTCCTGAAGGCCTGTTCGATCAGCTTGCCCTCTGAGGACGGGTCTATCCTCCAGAATGAACCTTTGCCAGGCTCCTCCTGCGAACGTGCCACTTTGATGAAGTAACGGTTCAATGACAAGTTATGACGAATCGAGTTCTGCAAAAGAGGAGAAGCATAAAAGGTTACAGGAAAAAAAAAAAACAAAAAAAACAGCTGCTTATTATTACTGATGTTTTAAAGGTTGATTCTAGGGACATTTTGCACTGAGGCTCATTAGTAGGTATGTTATATTTTTATCATGCTGACAGTCAAAGTGGAGCTCTAACAGAGACATGATGCCACACTCACCTGCCAGCCCTTGTCTGCAGTCCTGTAGTAAGGGTAGTTCTTTGTGATATGGTTATAGATTCCATTTAGTGTGAGCTGCTTGTCCGGTGCCAGTGTTATAGCCTGGACTATCAGCTGTGCATAGGAGTAGGGTGGTTTGGAGTCGTCCTGTGGAGCAGCAAAGTGAATTTGACCATGTGGCCTGACATTTTCAAAAAACATGTAGTTCTTAAAAACCGCCACAGCAAAGGATATTTAATCGACAAACGTGAACTAAGTCACCAAGCTGTGGCAACAGAGTCCTATCCATAACAACTTCTCACAGCTCAAAATGTCTTAAAATTGCTCATTTAGTCCAAATTGTTCACACTGGAGGAGCTGGAACCACAACTGGTTTGGTGTCTCTGCTTGAAAACAGGTGCCAATTAATTTTCTGTTGTCAACTGTATACTAGGGCTGCACGATCAATCGTTTTGTGAGTGTTTTAGATACCTGTGCGATTTTAGTCTCATGTGCAATGACAGATTCTGCCATGTCTGCATTAGCAGGGAGATGCCTTGCGCTCAAACCAAGCGCTCCCATTTCCTCACAGAGCTGCGTTAACCAATAGCAGGA